CGAAGTTATTACGAACAGAACCAGGGTCAACCGTCACGTTCGAACATTTTCGGGATTTTTGCGACCCCCCCCCTCTGGAGAGGGTCCAGTTGCGACCCCCCAACACACAGTTGCGACCCCCCAATACAACCAGCCTTCCTCCACCGCGACCTCTCCCTCTTCTATAGTATTTGATTCTGATTCTGAGACCAGTTGACACAGCCCAAAACCTACCTAAAACTCCGAAACTCCACCCACTTTTCCCCAAAAACAGCCGTCGAGCGGGGGGGGGGTATATCAACCAGTGAAACGAGTGAACGAGCACTTCTTTACGCGAGCACCTATTGCCTTGACGCCCCGAATTACCAACAGCGCGCAATACGGACTTAATTGCGACCTCTCTTCACCTCCCGACACAAAATGCGACCCCCGTTCGAACAGTTCGAACGGACGGTTGACCCTGCTCGGAACCCTCAACCTTGTTGGAGCAGGACATTGACGCATCGGTCAATGGATAGCAATAAGACACCGATATGACGATGCATATAGTGATGGTAGATAGTGCATTGTGTTTGAATAATACTCGCGAAGAATGCGTAGATGTGAAATAACGTACGAAGAGCTGGAGAAGCGAGAGACCAACGATTCCGCCTCACTACTGGCTCGAGCCCGGCATCAGGCTGCTCAAAACATTAGGGTGGTGACAGCTGTGAGGAGCTGTGACGATGTGATCTGAAGAAAGCCAGCAGAAGTTATGCGTGAGTAGAAGAATTTTTTGAGCTTCTCTGCAAGAAATTAGACCGGTAAGAGGGACCACAAATGTAACTGACAGCTCTTCCGTTACCTGAGCATAGAATGAGATTCGTTTGGGAAGATGAGTTGGGATGGCGGTTGGTTTAGGTTGGGATGTCAATTGTGGCGTTCAAAGGGATCTCACCATCAGCTAATGCGACAGAGTGCATCAACCACAAAGGATGGTCAAGTTGGTTGCGCATAACGTGAAGCTACAGAAACAGACCGTTCTCTCGAGACTTAGGTGTGCTGAGATTACCTTCTACGTGATATCATGAGTGCGCTAAGACCCCTACCATAGGAGACATTCATTTTGTGAATACGAGATCTCGCCCCCACAAGTAGAAGTGAGTACAGTGGAAGGCATATTAAGCATACCCAGGGAAAGGAAGGTCCTGGCCATTGTCAGCTCGCTGCATCTAGTACAGCAAGGGAAAGAGTTCTTTGGGATATTTTGAGAGATTTTGTGAGTTGGTTTGTGAGGGAGTGGAGGACGTATTGGAGATTTTCACAAAGGGTGGTGGAGATGGAAGTTGGGGGATGACGTTAGCAGAAGAATCTGGGTAGTGTTAGCTTTTGACGAGCTTTCTTCCAATTTCAAGGGATACTTCAGGAGAGAAGCTCAGACTAAGGAATGTCACTTTTTCCCCTCCCTCATCTCCCCCTCTTCCGCTCGACGGCCGTCTCGGAGGAAAGCTCTCCAGAGTTGAAGTGTGTCGACGCTGGCCAAAAATCAAATATTACCCTAGAAATAGTCAGATGGTGAGGATGGTGGTGGGGAGAAAAGCCCATATAGAAGTGACACCCTTCACATATGGTGTGCGGGTCGTATCGCGATCACGTTAAGGGACTTAAGCCGTTTGGACAGAGCGAGCACCCGAAGTAAGCGTGAATTATAATGTTCTGCTGTAGTCACGTACAATGCGCGACGCATTGACGCGCTGAAACGTGTGCTCGCCTCCCTCGTTTTCTCTGCGCTCTCTCAACGAAGAGAGAATGCGTCGAGCAAACTCGCCAACTATACTGAGCGCCGTTCATGTAGGAGGTGGAGGATGGCACGCATGTCAGATTGGCCTCGCGTAGGATGGGCGGCACCCGGGGATGACCTCCCCTGAACTGCGCGCGCAGCGTTCAGACTCGCTGCCTGCGCGGCGAGGCGAACGCTGCAACGCTCCTTCATTTATGGGTTGCTACCCTGGAGAGCAGGGGTAGCCTCATTGTTGGCGAACTGTAGACCATTATTCCAGAAAGCGCGTCGATGCGACGCGCATTGTACGTGACTACGGCAGGAACATCGTAATTCACGCTTACTTCGGGTGCTCACTCTGTCTAAACGGCTTATCTCCGCCTAGGAGGGGATACCGAAAAACCCTGAAATTGGCGCATTGTACGGTTGACTCGGTTCCGGCGGCTGTCGGTAGAATTTGGGGGAATCGGTCAACTGTCCTAACACCACTCAATTATTTTCTTGCCTTTCTTGTGTGCCGTCGCCTGGACTTTGATTGTTTTATTCGTGTGTTGTGGTAGTAGAATCTTTTCAGGTGTACCTTCCAGATGAACGACTTCTTTCAGGAGAAATACTTCATCGGAAACGCTAGTCAAAGCCTCTTCAATTCGACTTCGCAATTCAAGAGCGGGATTATCACTGTATGGATTTGTTCGTGAAACTTTTCTCAGGGATGAGATTCGTCAAACTCGAGAGCTCATTCGAAGAGTTTCACCCTTTGCTGAACGTATGAAATATACTCCGTTTGGTTCTAAGACTTCGGCTACAATGTGAGTTACTTTTTTT